CGAAGGCTGATGTTGCCTTGGGCCTTGAGGTCGGCATCGAGCCAGGCCTTTGCCTCATTGGCGTCGGTAGGCTGGGTGTTGATGATCGAACCCCACTGGCCTTGAGCCTTAAGGTACGACTTCATTGGCTGCGCCCACTCGAGGTAGTTGCGGCCGTCGAAGGCGGTAGGAACAGCACTGTAGAGAGCACCAGACATGATGTCGAGAGGTATGGTTCTAGAAGGGAGACTTGTCAGCCACACGCCTTCGAAGAACGCAGTCGAGGCAGAGAGAGATCATGCCGACATAGGTTACCTCTCTGTGGCACTGTAGGCAGCGACGAAGCGCACCACAACAGTCCACAGTGCATGCATGGCAGGCAGCGTATGATCGCGCCAGATCCAAGCAGCGGTTGCACATCGATAACGATGGCAAAAGATCCAGGTGAGCTGTGAGCTTACAGATTGCAGCACGCAATGAGCGGCGCAGATTCTGCAGCGTCGAGCAGGGCTCATAACCTGTTGAACCCGGGGAGCGAAAGCCTCTCCCACGGGTGGCAATGACAGCGGATAGCCTGCAACTCACCTAGAAGGGTTGGTTGATTGTAAGAGGCTTGTAAGAGCGATGAGAGGAGACGCTTGAGTGAACTGAACTGTAGATTGGGGGTACAGAGGTCCCCTATATATACTACTGTACATCTGTGGCTACGTAGTACTATACAGTACATTCCCAGGATGCACAGTCGCACAGAGAAGCAGTGCGTACACAGCGAAGCTGCGTGTTAGTGTTGTGCAGGGCCGGGCCGGGCTCAAAACTCCAGGCTAGGGCCCGGCTTTGGAGGGCTCGGGCTCACTGAACACTCGAGCCAGGCCCTAGTGGCGGGCTCAGGCTGGGCCAGGGTCGGGTCAGGCTCAAGCCCGGGCTTTAGGCCTATCACATTATCAATGAGGAATGTGCATTATAGACGTACCTCTAGCTGTATTGAGGCCTTGGTATACTTGAAAGGAAGTATGAGCAGCACGATGGTGGCCATAATCGGCGAAGAGACGGTAGGAAATCAGTGAGGCGGCGGCGGTTCTGAACTAAGCAGGTCAAGCGCTCATCGGATCGGCCACTTCAACATCTGTACCACATCCGCCGGAAGGCGACACTACCAAGGTTGATGAGTTGTCTCTTACTTCTCCTAGCTTGACTTATCATTTATGATATCAGAGACATGTTCAAGGCCATATACAGCCGGATATAGAGGCCACCCAAAAGCCCGGGGCTTGAGGGCTGGGCTCGGGCTTGCAAAACTCCAAGCCGAGCCCTCAAGCCCTGAAAGCCCGGCGCCGGGCTGGGCTGGGCCGGGCTTTTTAGGGCCGGGTACCCGGGGCTTCAGGGCTTGGAGCCCGGCCTTGCACAACACTACTGTGTGTGTACCACATGAGTAGTACAGCCTCGGTTATTGCAGTAACCGGCTGTGCCGTTCCATATCTTGTGACGGCTGTATTAGGCAAGCTGTGTAAACCAGCGCCTGTTCAACATTCACTAATGGCAACACGATGTTCATATAGTTTCGATGTGGCTCCTTAGCACCGACCGCGCTAAGCTCCACTACTATCACAGTCCAGAGGACGTTCCTGGTGGTTACACTATCCTGTCGCACGTCTGGGGGAAGGACGAGCAGTTGTTCAAAGCCACTCAGAAGCTGAAGAAACAATGCAACAAGGATAGAACCAATCCTCGCGACCATTGCTCCGAGAAGGTCCGTCAGATCTGTATCATCGCGGAGAAGGACGACATGCACTGGGTCTGGAATGACACCTGCTGCATCAACAAAGACAGCTCAGCCGAGCTCTCCGAGGGAATCAATTCAATGTACCGCTACTACGCCCTCGCCGCTGTATGCTACGCTTACCTGGCGGACGTTCCGAGCGACGGGTTCTCTGACGACTTGAAGGCGCCGTTCGCGAAGAGCAAGTGGCACAAGCGCGGTTGGACGCTTCAGGAGCTCATCGCAGCCACCGTGGTCGAGTTTATCTCCGCCGACTGGCGGAAGCTCGGCACCAAGATGGAACACGCAGGCCTCCTAAGCAGGATCACCAAGATCCCCGCTGAAGTGCTCCTGATGGAGCAGCCCGTGAGGAGGTACAGTATCGCCCAGCGAATGTCTTGGGCCTACAAGCGGGAGACGATGCGGGTAGAGGATCGTGCCTACTCCCTCATGGGGATCTTTGCCGTCAATATGACGACTATCTACGGCAAAGGCGAGCGAGCATTCCAACGGCTGCAAGAAGAGATCATGAAACAGTCCATCGATCCATCCTTGTTTGCTTGGGGGGCCTTCCACCGCATAACTGACAACCACACTCGTTACCCGCTAGCACGACTGGTCCATGAGCACACTGAGTACAAGTCATATCTCCTTGCGGCATCACCAGACGATTTTCTTCCATTGCATTCAGGCAAGACCACGTTTTTACCAAGTCTCCCTCGAGCGGAATCACCATAGTATGTCACTAGCCCACAGCATTTGACTCTTCGTTCACTGATGCACACTACATCCCATAGTCCCGGGATGAACGACATACCCACGTTCACCATGACACCATATGGCTGTCTTTCTCTCCTAGTCTGTTTTGATCTGGGTGAGCTCACTTTAGCGCGAATGGGTTGTCGATGGGATGGGCCACATGGCGCGACGCGGTCCCTGTGGCTAGTTCTTCAGCGCTGTCCGAATCCGCCAGACAAATCTAAACCCCTCTACCACTGCGGATCTAAGTCGATATTATGGAATGGGTGGGCTCACTCAGTTATAATCTCGGATGCCGACTGGCCATGGACATCCTTTTCGCTTCGTCAGCAGGAGCTCTATATTGCCCTCTGGCACACAACTCAGGAGGACTCTCCTATCCCTCTGGCACTCGGATCTGAGCGCTCTAGAGAGCCGTTCCGGATTACCCAGAAATCTCTCAGACAAGTCTTCGAGAATTGGACTCTGGAGAGTGAACCCGCTTTCATTTGGGATGCGTGCGTTCGCATCACCTTCCACTTCCCACGCTTGGACCGTTCAGAACACACGAACCCACACATCTCGCGGTTTGTGTTCGAAGTTTGTCAATTGACAAGGCCTAGGCAGCACTATGCAAGATTTGAATTCAAGCCCGAAGAGTGGTCGTTTCGTCGTCATCCTCGGACTCACAGCTGCAAATGGGACCATATCTCCACTTGGCCAGAGGGAAAGGATGACTATGGAAACCCCGATGGTATGCAACATCCATTGGGTCTTCTCTACGGTCTCTGATTGCATGTAGGCTCTCGCATATGGTTCTACTCTGCGCCCTTTGGGAGCATCAAGCTCTCCTTTACTCCATGTCCTACATATGGTACGAATGTCCTCGTATTGGGCCCCTCAAAAGAGCCTGTCAACGGTAATGCTTACTGGAAGAGGTACGTCCAATTCCCTTCTTCATAACAACCTCACATTGTGTTAACCATCGTCCACAGACATAGTAATAAATACAAAGCGTACCTCAATCAGTGAGTGAATCTGCATCTGACGTGGAGCCAGTTATGCCACTGAATGTATAATCAATGAAAGGGGCTTACGCAAGCGAAGAGGAAGGCCTATTTCAACTGCTTCACCCACACTACACGCCATGGCGCAGACTGGTCGCATCAGCCCTATGCCCTCCCCGCCTCTATCTCCCCGTCTCGACACCTCATCTGTGTCAGATGCCCAGTCCGAGTTAGTAGCCCAGTCCGAGCCGTCAGCCCAGTCCGAGCCATCGGTCGCGCTTTGTCCTCCAACTGAGCGCACAACACAGTCCTACCGACTGCATATCGACCGAACTGTCCCTTTCCCCGCCTATCGTTTGCCACACATGCCATCCACAACAGATATGGAGGCTCGTGATCAGTACCCGGATATACTCGCCCCCACCACACCGCCCCACATCGCCCCTACCCTTGCTATCTCGTCTCGGAGACAACTCTCCCTAGCTTCAGGCTCCCAGGGGCGTCGTGTGCGTTCGCGCCTGTAATTGTCGCTCGTCCCATCGATCCCAGTCCCGCTTGCACATCTCACATATCAACCTATGTATTCTTCACCGGAGTTGGTCTCTGTTCCGCCTTTGGGTTGTTCGATACCTTTTTGGTTCCAATTCAGTCATGTTTCCTTATGTAGTTCGAAGATTATGCGACACAGTAGTCGCGTCTCTGTTCGGCTCCCTTAAATATTCTAGTATCTCTTTACGACATTGCAGTTACATTCAGGTACATACGTCGATCTATTGTACGACAAATTCTGCCCTCGCTCTCCTGCACGTACCGTCAATCCTTGTGTACCTAACTGTATGTGTGCTATTTAGCACAATCGACGTGCCATCGCATCGAACCGGCGGATATGACTACCGTCCTCATGAGATCCCTGTATTTATTGCATACGACACGTGTTTGCACTCGGTTAAACACGAATCCATCCGCTCTCCTTCGCCACCAAATTGCTACATAATTGTGAACAGTGACTCATCCCGTCCCGATCCCCATTTCAATGATACTTATATCCCGCGTCTCAACACACATTCGTCGTCCGACTAGTAGATTGTGCAACAGCGTTGGGCTGCTGCCTGCCATATACGTTTCCAGTATCAGTCATTGGCGCAGAGTTTTTCCCCTGGGGTCTGCGCTTCAGTTATGAGTTGTTATGATTTGTACACTACTTTCTTGAGCTCGATGCAGTGTTCCCCCTGCGTACATCCCAAGGTTCGTACAATTTAAACCGGCTACGTCTCTACTCAACGCCCTGAATACGGCGCGCAAACACAGCGGGACACGACGTAGAATGAAGCACGCCAACATAGGGTGATGTGTACCAACTCCGCCAAAAATCAGATCCGTCCGGGGCGTAGCATGTGTAGTGCGGATTGACATGCGGCCGTCTCAGGTGTCCGCCTTTGAAAGGGCGGTGCGTGCGACCTGCAAAGGAGATTTATGCAGACCACGAAAACTAGGAGCAGTGGAGCAGATGAAGGGACACCAATGGCGTATAGGCTGACCGGTTTCAACACATGTGCTGAGAGACAGAGGAGATAGTAGACCGGCGGCGGGCGCACAGACCCGCACTTGTCCCCCAAAAGGGGAGCCGTTTTCAATCAACCATGACCGCAAACAAATCATCCAGAGATCAGAAGAGAGGCGCGGTGGAGACCATAGGCACGACGGCCACGAGCACCAGATGACAGAATGTTTTGCGCCGCTTGACTGAAAGCTAACGCTCGAGGTAGAAGTCGGGGATCGGCCTGAGCCGCTTGCGCCCGCGTTACATAAACGAACACTCACCCTATACATTCCCTCAAGGAGTGCCGTGCGGTGTCCATTGACGTCCATACGAACACCACCGCAAGTGTCCGTGTCATATAAGCATGCCGTGCCGCATTTGGCTGTGATCGGCGGTGGGTGTGTGAGAGCAACGACGTAGCTTACGTAGAAGGAAACACAATGCTAAACGAATGGCAGCAAGGTTGCTCTTGTGAGCGGCAACGCATGACACTGCAGACTCGGGCAACATTGAGATGTGAAGACTGGGCACGAAGGAGAGCCAATCGGTTCCTGGCGGGATGAGTGGTAGCATCAGATAGCACGAAAGCGGGCATCGGCGGACGCGGGAGGCAAGACAAAGATGTGTACACCCCACCTTAAGGGGACACAAACCACCAGGAAATGCGCAGTCATACAGCAACCATAACTTACACGACCCACAAGGACATATTCAATGCATCCGCCCTTTCCCCGACAAAGTGTCACATTATGGTCGTGCGATAACTGAATAGGCGCGCCACTGACGAGGCCTGTGCGCGCAGGCCCAATAGCATACAGCGCGACTCGAAGAAGACGGTCGTGGAAAGGATACTCACAATCGAAGACAAGGCCGGCAGCGCTCTTTGGAAGCTACGTGCGCGACTTGGAAGACAGCACTCACACCGGGTGAGTGATCGTCCTCATCGGCTGAGCCTTCTTGGCGATGGAGAGCCAGCTTATATCTACGGATGAAAGATGAGGACGGTAGAAGGTGGATCGAGCACAGATGGCACTCACATCGAGCCTCGGAGGGTGCGCCGGATGTCGAAGTCAGGCGGAGGACATGAGGACAGACAGGAATAGACACTGAGAACTGGGAAGGCGACGGAACGGAGGAAATTCCGATGTACATCGTGCACAGGTGCTTCTTTGATCCTGCGACGAGTGTACTCGGCGCTAGGCAGTGCTCGTCAATGCGTGAACCCTAGTTGGGTACCATATCGAGACAGCAAGCAGGCGAGCGAGGGAAGAGCATGAGAGCGCGGGAGGAAGACGGCAGCGCGATATTAGTTCAAGGCTCAGATCTCAGAGGTGACACACATGAGGCAACCTGCGGGTGGGAGCAACACATTTTCTGACTTCACTGTGAGGTGTACTTGCACGTCGGCACCAGATCGTATGTCAAGCACCTGGGCCCCAGGGTCTAGCTAGAAGGCCGCAAACAGGCCGGAGGAGGCAGAAACAAGCAGACACGTGCAGATGGCCGCTAGGAGGGCAGGACAGACTGCGGTGCAGTACCACCTTCCCACGCTCCCACGTGCTAGTGACCACCACGCGATAGTACGTGCATGGTGTTGCTGCACATTTCGGACCTCCACGACACTTTTCTAATCCACATCATACATTCATTCACTTGATGCGTGCGCACAGAAGAGGAGTAATCGGAAACAAATGTCACGATTAAGAAGACGATCGTCGTGCGTGCTGTCCAGAATGTGGTGAGTAACAGGTTCCCTTCCCTATGTTCCTCACCGCCCGGCAGGCTGTGTGGATGGTTTGATATTTGGTGTTGTCCTACCGACTGATCTGTGGTGAAAAGCTCGGCATTCCGTTTTCTTCCAGGAGATTTCATCCAACTTGTCAACAAGTTAGTCAATAGTAAACCCTGCACATCAGCAAGATGTCATGGTCTTGAATGTGGTCTTAGGGTACTTGGCCAAGTACTCCAAGACCACCAAGTACTCCAAGTACATCAAGACCAATGGACTTGATCAAGACCGTTGGTCTTGGCCAAGCCGGGTGGGTGGTCTTGGCCAAGACCATTGGTCTTGACCAAGACCACCAAGACCATTCCAAGACCAGAATCAAGACCAGAGCCAAGTACATGCTAGAAGCTCATGCTATAAAAGACTATAGCTCAGTTTTTAGTTGGATCATATCAGACATAGTTAGTCTCTAGCATGGTGATGTACAGCAATACAATGATTAGCGGATATGCGAAGGAAAACAAAAAGACACCAGCTAGGATTGAACCAGCAACCTCTAGCACTACCACATTCAACCACCATTTAGACCACTGCACCATATTGACTTGTAGATAGATATGTGCACCATAAATATATGGTGCATTTTGTTGGACTTGGAAAGAATTGTCACTACTCAGT